TATATCATATTGTCTTGTCATGAGTTCCTCCACTTCACCCCACAATATATCATATTGTCTTGTCATGAGTTCCTCCTCCATCCCACCCCACCCCACCCTAATATATCATATTGTCTTGTCATGAGTTCATCCACCCCATCTCACAATATATCATATTGTCTTGTCATGAGTTCCTCCACCCCATCTCACATTATATCATATTGTCTTGTCATGAGTTCCTCCACCCCACCCCACCCCACCCTAATATATCATATTGTCTTGTCATGAGTTCCTCCACCCCATCTCACAATATATCATATTGTCTTGTCATGAGTTCATCCACCCCATCTCACAATATATCATATTGTCTAAAAATGATATTACCAATCTCACAACTCTGGGGTCATATTGTCTGAACATGAGATTTCCCCTACCCCCAATTTTTTTATTGACCACCTGAAACTTTGATAGACAATATACCTTTACAAAGAACATTTTACCTGTATATTTTGTGGTTGGTTGTTATAAACATTTAATTAAGAAAATATGCGTAATAATAAAGGAAAGAATGAATAGAATACTGTTTTGTTCACTACTATACTTGTCATTGAGCAACACACATCAAATAACTTCATAGACAACTTGGTCCATGAAATTAGATTATTCCTTCAGACCTACAGTGATCTACCGTTAAATTTGAATACTGCATAATAATCTATACTGTTAAGTTTGAGCACTGCATAATAATCTATACAACTTGTACGTCAGTACTGTAGCCTTAATGAGATGCATTATGAAGGCAGCATTATGACTCCCCCAAGTCCCTGGAAAATACTTTCACACAACCCGACACAAAAGTTTGTTATTATCCAGGTAAATATTCATAATAACATTCTGTACCATGGCACTTATAAAAACCAGACTTTCCCATTAACTCAAAATATTTCTGTTTCCTTTATGGCCTTAATTGTTTATTTTCTATGATTTCAGTCCTGAATATATTTAAGTAAGTGTAATCAAGAGTGTATTTGCCTGGTAAATAATATTTAGCTAGGCATCGTTTAAAATGTATTCATAGTCCCCTGTCTGCAAGATGATTTCGTATCATATAAAAGTGTGCTTTTGGGGTATATATTAAAGTAGACACTGGTAGGTGGGATTTTTAAAAAAGTATTAAACCATTGCTGAATATGTAATAGTTTACTACATGATAAGTTCACCCCTTATGTTTTGTTAAATCTTAAAAATCCCCCCCATTCAGACAATATTTCATGTATCACATGAGCGCTTGCTTACAGCAAATAGTAAAATACACATGCAGCCGTTATACACCATGTCTAGTACTATATTAGTATATATACTGTTTTTGCCCAATCATATGCAAATGGATGTATTTCGAAATAGGTAGAAATTGAATAATTTTGACTTTAAAATTAACTTGATACATATCTAAGTGAGCTATACGTACCTTTTCCTCTTGTTATTTTGTTTGAATGGATTCATTGAGTGTAGTATCTACATGAAAATTCAACACCAGTGTTACTGAATAATCACCATGTTAAACTATCTCCATCCAAATTATAGCGCACTCCATCAATACAGCATATCACAAATTCCATACAATTTGTCACGCACATACACCCTGTGTGCACTTCCACAAACATGTGTGTCAAAATTTGTTGACCTTTAAAATATTTCCCATGTAAATGCGCTCACAGGTATAGTAAGGTCCTATTTTAGAAAATGTCAATCCATGAAGTGCATCCAATTTGTTTGTTTACACTTCTTATCGCTGGTAACACACGTTATAAATAGGAATACATCCTTCCAAACGGGTTCAATTTATCGTTATTTTTGTTCACAAGAATGTCAAAAGTATCTGATAAAGTTTTTCAAAAAGATTTATCAAGATGAAAACACTACAATATGCAAATGCCTATAGTGTGTTGCATAAGTAGCCATTTATTGGATTTGTCACAGTCGTGTCTCTTTGCCTTTGTCCATCCCATGTCGTAATCAGTGGTTATAGATAGGTATCAATCCTTACTGAATAATGTAACCCTGGGTGTTGATTTGATGACAAACCTGGTATACACTCAGCATGCTGTACTCATGACAACTGCAGCCTTAATAGTTATCTAGAGATGAACGCTACACTGATTTAATAGTTCAGACAATTAATGCGTAGAAATCTAGACACCTGTACACACTGTGTATACACATGCAGGTGTATCCTTCTACAGGTATATAGCACTTCCAAACAGAATCAGGATTAAATCTGTGATTATCAACACTGCTGGACACTGGGTATTAGACACTGCTGGACACTCCATCCTTACACAGGCACTATAGCACACAGATATTGTACTAGGAGAAATAATCACTGCACGAACGTAGATCCTTCTTTGTGTCCAGCATGCCAACTTTATTCAATATTTCCGCTGTTGTTTGCAATCTCTTATGTCAGTGTTCATTAGTATTAGATTTGAACCCCTGAAGACACCACACAAACTAGTCCATTTTCTATACTGTGTTGACGAACCACCATGCATAGGGATACACAAATGCATTCTTCCACAAAAATATCATATATCCAATTTTGCTGTAATTATATGAAGCATTATATCCATTGATTACAAAAGACGGAGGTTTAGTATTTCCTCCAATTATACTTTGTGTTGTGGCTGTGTTAATTACAACAGGGCGGACTGCTAGGTGATGCCACGGTTTATGTAGCAGGGTAGTATAGATCTTGTTGACCTCCTTCAATAGAAACTATAGGCACAGGCCACTCAGGTTATTAAAGACTAAATAAATACTTCATAATTCACAGACATTTCAATAAATAAAACATCATGCATTCATTCTTACCCTGACAGTTATAGATATAACGCCTGAAACCAGAGTGTCTTATCTGGAACTAAATTATAAGGAGAACATTTTTACCTGGAGATTTAAAAAATATTGTAAGCGCACACAGACAAAGGATCGAGTATATTACCTGTATTGACGAAAAGACTGTTTTCAATGAACACACACACCATTATGGCTTTAGTACTACAGGAGATAATGGCCTTTCCCCATTACCTATAAACACTTCGGGTGGCACACCGGTAATGAACTATGCACTAAGAAAAAGATAAATAAGTATTGATCATGGCGGCTAGGATAGCACCAAAAGTCAATTGACCTGTTTCTTCAACTCACCATGACAAAAAAGTCTACCAGGTAGAAAATTACTTCACTTCAGTAACAGAAAATAACAGTGAGGCTATTTCGTCTATAGATACGGACAATGCTATGGGGGTGTAATGTTTGTATGTACATATGTATTACCTTGATACACCTTTGTACAAAGTTGTTTCAAGCATTGTATGCTTAAATCCTCAAGTCTCTATGTTTTTCTTTCTGTATTTGGGAACTTATATCTTTGGAAGTTCCTTATCAAAGCAACTTACTCTAAAACTACGTTTTATCCCAAAGAACATATACTATAGAGCTAGTCCTTCTTTAAACTTTAAAATGTGTATAAGGAAATGAAATCGGATTAATGGAAGCAAATTTAAAAAAAAAAATCAAATTGAGAAGAAAAAAATAAAATCTCATTTGAAATTCAACCCAATATAAAAACAGCACAAACTTTGCATTATCATTTAGATGATCATGCATAGCCAAGTTTTGTCTCTTTATTTTAAGAACAATAGTTTTGCATCATGAATGAAGCTTAAATTCAAATGTTAATACTTTTCTCTTATTTCTAAAGGTGTCTTGAAAAGCATTCAGTACAGGTAATTAAAAACCAGTTTAATCTATTATACATACATTTATGCACCTCTTACCTGTTATTAACTTATTCTGAAGGTTTAAAATCCATATTGTTAAGTTTGATTAATTTTAAGATTTTTTAGATTTTTTATCAATCTCTGAATGTACTGTTCAGTATTGACAGAATAGCTAACGTTACACTGCCAATTAAGTACCTAGTGCATTTCAATTCTGTACAGTTACTACTGCCTGTTATGCAGGGATAGTTCTGGTAATAAAAAAAAATAGAAATATGCAGGGGTCCTTCTGCTGGCCTTCAAACTTATAAAACACCAAAAAGCAACAGATAGGGCTAGACCATTAGAAGTTTTCTAGACTCTACTGTACCATGTTAGTGTCAAAATTCTTCATTGTGATGTAAGCCTACACGTTATCCATTTTAGACATTGGATGGTTTCAAGACTGTTTCAGTAATACGATCAGGAACTGGACCAAGCAACTTTTTTTCAGAATGATATCATGTGCTGCATAACCTAGACATGAATGGTTAAATGTACACAAAATGTATAGGCCACGGTTGCCGAGAAATCGGTCGAACTCTAAGCACGGCTCCATTCATAAATCACAAGCATGACTCTGAATCTAATGCATGCATCGACCGGGTCTACCTTTACAGAAACAATTATCTGAACTTCTAGTTGATTATTGAGTTCCTGTCGATAATTACAAATGCCGTAAACATCTTACATTTCCGATTTTTTCTTCTTCATCGGAGACTTGTTTCAGGACGGATGGTTGTCAAACGAACGATTGAAGCAGACGAAAAATCGGTTAGATCGATTTTAAGGAATACACCTATTTTAGAATATATGTGGAACGAAATTCGAGTTTGACCTAACTTGTAATTATGTATTGCGCTGTCTCACTGTTTCTAAATAACGGCTTACTACAGACGAAGTGTTTCATTTTTTTGTCGAGAAATTAATAAAAGATTATTTACCAGAAAGTGTTTTTTTATTTGTGAATCACCGATGACAAAAATAAGGATACATATATACACCTTGCATGAACGTTATGAGAGGAACGGCCCCCAAGCTCGTGATGGTTAATTTTCATGTTCATTTAGCTCTCATAAGTTTGTGGCGGATTTCAATTGAAGTTGTACTGTACTGACTATGGTCGCCTTCTAGCGTCATGCTAGGAATTAAGATCCACATTTAAAATTTGGTAATAGCAGAGACGTATATTACAGAGATTGGCAACTTGCTCTTGGCCTTACCATAGACCTAAACATAGACCTAAATTAACGGGACCTTTACTTCAGGTCTCTGGCCTTACCATTGGTCACTGGTAACCGGATGTCATATCGCGAGTTACGCTTCACCTGCGCCATATTGGATATACGGTTCGCTGCATTAAATAATCATTTTCTGTTCAAAACATAATTATGCCATGAGAAAACACTGAAAATCAACGTTTAGAAAACACCAAACATCGAAAGATTGCACATCGTGGCTGTGTTTACATATCGGTAATGATTCTGGCTTCAGGAGAACACGAACGTCGTTTTTGTTCTTTAGACAATTTCAAAAAGGTTTTCAGAAATTAATTATTGGATAATATTTCTAACCAGGAAATTAAAATGAGGTTGTTACAATACTTACAAAGTTTCATAATTTAGCTATGCAAATACAGGTTTTTAAGAATAAACAAGTTAAAATAGCGGCTTTGACGTGTGAGGATTTTTTTTCTTTCTTAACACATTAAAACACGAACTCCTTTCTAATTCATTATTTAATTTCAAAAACATATTCAGATATTTATTCAAACATAAAATTTTTAGACAGCTGTATTATACGTCTCTGGTAATAGATACAGTATGGCAAAAAATGAATTACATCGCATCTTAAGTTTTGTCCATCTAGAACACATCGGTAATGATAGGGGCCAAAAAGCTGGACAAACAGCACGTAAAACCCCTTTATTGCTGAATTTCACAATTTAGAGGAGTACTGATACATTCCGAATTAAATCGTAAGTAAAGAGCGTATATTATGAGCTATGCCACTACCAAAAATAGATAACTGTGGCCATCCAGGTAACGGCAATTATCAGGGATTAAATAATCTAAACATTCAAAGATGAACGTAACACATACATGAAATCGCACCTACTTTTAAAATTTGATAATAGACGCAGTATGCCCAACAATGAATACGAATGTCTTTAAACTCAATAGGTAGAGCGACGGGTGGTGAAGCTGGGGTCTCTGGTTCCGTACCCCGCACACTCCGAGGGTGAACCCCAACCTCGGAAATTCAGAGGTCGTGCTCTCTTGTAGTGCAGAGAACATACGTGAACGTAAACCTTGGAATTTGGAGGATGATGTAAACCTCATGTCGCTATACAATTTGAAAATTAACTAACTCGAGTAAGATAAACATGATAACCAACCATAACTCATTGGGGAACCTCTATAGCAAAAACCTACATATATTTTTTCGTCGAATTATTCAAAAGCTATCGATTAACAATCGGTATGGTATTTTCATTCATTCGTTTTTCGAACTCGAGATGTTTTTGCACTTTATTCGCTTTTTAAATCAATTTTATTGATACCGTGTATTGCGTTGATCGATGACTTAAATATGATTCCTGTTTTTTGCCTTTGTGAGAGTTTACTACTTCGAAGCATGATAAGACAGAGACGTTTATATTACAATAAATACGTCTCTGGAAGTAGAAGTCTTATTGACGTCAACGTATTTTATTTATTTGTTTTCAATTTTTATTGAGAAATAACGAAGAGACGAAGTTATCAAAACAGCACAAATAAACCACTAAAGTAAATTTAAAGAGCCCGTGATTTCGGTACTATTGTTAAACGACTCGGACTTTTCCGTCATAACGGAAAGGCCCGAGTGATTTTTCCGAATGACAATCCGTCATGCGGCCAACTTGTGTGTAAACCAATCTTCTCTGGTGATCAGATAACTGTAGACCGTTGTATATACACAACATGTAGATAACGGACTCACAAGTTTAAAATAGTATTATTAAAATGGTATTATTAAAGCAGTTCAAACATTATCTGTTTAATTCTGAGACCCCAGATCGATGTGCAATCTGGAAGTTGATTGAATTCTGTGATGTCGTTCGAAAACCGTCATGGATATTGTTTTTTGCTGGCATGTATGATAAATATACAGGTCCGTTGTACGTAAGGAACTTGTAAAACCACCCAACCTCTACGGGATAAATACGGATAAGGTGTCAGGGGAACAGTTTACTCAAACAGAACAAATACGGTGCGGTATGAAGACAAAGTTATAGGCCTATATCATATCAAGAAAGTCTCACCTGAAGAAAAACTCATCTTAAGTGTGGCTTATACGAAGTAAGGCTTTTGTGAAGATTCTAGATCTCATCTGAAGTAAGGATCGTCTGTAGAAAGACTCATCTGAAGTAACGTCTATCTGAGGTAAGCCTCCCCTGGGGTATAAGACTTGGCTTATACGAAGTAAGGCTCATCTGAAGAAATTAATCACGTGAAGTAAGGCTCGTCTGAAGAAAAAAAAACACATGGAGTTAACCAGGCTAATATACGTATGGCCTATACGAAGTAATGCTTATGTGAAGAAATTCTCATCTGGAGTAATTCTCACCTGAAGAAAGCCTCACCTGAAGAAAGGCTCACCTGAAGAAAGGCTCGTCTGTAGAAAGTATCATCTGAGGAAAGGCTCACCTGAAGAAAGTCTCATTTGAGGAAAGACGCATCTGGGCCCGTATAAATTAAACCGTATCATGCTCAAGCATGGATTCTGTGCTCAAACCAACTGCATTGTAACTCGATTAAGTCATGTGACACAGCAAAAAGGTAAAGTGTGAATATTGAAAACTGTATTCGGCTGTAAGTGACAACAAAATGTTTCAAAGGCTCCTCTTTATTAAGGTTTATCTGGAATAAGGCTGGTCTTACCTTGCCTTTTCCGCAGGGATGTCTTCACGTGCATCCAAAAAAGGGACGTGCGAGAAGATTTCGGCACCGATCACCGTATACCGAGAACTGAACCCTTCTGTGTAAGGACTACAGATTGAGTTCGCCCCGGAGAAACCGGCATATCACATATATATACGGTACCTTATACTGAATATCCCGTCTTGATGGTTTCTTGCACGTGTGTGGTGACGGGGTAGTTAAATGGATCTGCTATGATGCTGGACCTCGTTGACTTGGATTCTTCTCAACTGGAATACTAGTATTCAAGACTGAAATACAACTCGTATGTGACAGTTTTGTTTCATTTGTCGATAACTGTTTTTATTCCGGGTAATATTTCTAAAGTGCCAGGATTTACAAAGTTTCATTGAACAATGGCGAAATGTTCTTTAAGTCGTTTACTGTTGTTCGTCATAGTCACGATATGTCCACTGTTATCGTTGTGGAGTCTGATGAAGTTCATCAATATGGTCCCACCTTCCTGCGGGGTCAACAATGTCATCGTGATGATGGAGAAGGAAAATAAGGTCATGGACACGGATCTCTCGGACCCTAACATGAAAGGAATATTTTCTCAGATACGTAAATACGTTGTAGAACCCCAACATTTTACACCTCGTAGTCCGAAACAGGAGACGAACTCTAGTAGACTCGGTTCCACAGACTATAGGAAAGTGATGACGTATCTGAACGGACAGCGGGTTGCCCAGAACAACCCAACTTTGGTGTCACTTATAAGGAATTATTATATCGAGATGCCATCTTTGGAGCCGTATCATCTTGATAACCCGGATGTTGTCGAATTATCAAACGGCCAGACACCTGTGGTGGACAGCCGACTTAACTACATGGTAAGTACTCGCAAGAGCCCGAATTGAATACACCAAGCGGAGATCAAGAACTGAAAGGGTGGGGTCCAGTCCATCCTCGAGACTCAAGGTGCTACGCACACTTTCGTTTTCTATATTAACCATGGAATATGTCATAGCAAAATTGAAGGCACGCAACTAGCTGTTTGATTGGTCCTGGTTAATAATAAAACCTGACAAATCGCTTAGGCTGATACATGTCCTTTGACAATTACAGAGGAGCGACATTTGACGTCAAGCTTGTCAATTTTACCGTAACGCGAACAACAGATTCTTTTGATGTACATCAAAGGATCAAACTTATCTTCTCGTCTTATCCACAACGTGGTGCACACCGAGCCTTCGATTGTGCTCTTCCAGGGGTGCAGAGAGGAAAAGTGGTGACCCCTGGAGTATCGAGAATGAGTCCAAGGGGAAGCCTCACCGTGTGTATGGGGAAACCCCTCCCACTCCAAAAAAGCTGTAGACATACAGCTTATTTTTCTCTGCAAAAAGAGGCGGGATTGGATTCCTGAAGCCAATAAAATTTAAATGAATCCGCCAGAGCAGTTAGAAGTAACCTAACAACAAGGTTAATAGTTTCGTGACTTAAGATCTAGCTACATGATGAGTCCATACTTACTGAATACTATGCGTGATACAACTACAAGGCGATACTTAGAAGTGACTTATCTACATAGTGAGTAATGACAAGTGACTTAACTTCTTTGTCATTACTTAAATGGGGCTTAACTACATGGTAAGTACTCCATTACACCAAACCAACCCAAACCAAACCCGTGACCGATCTCTGGAAGTATCCACGATTCCACTTCCTTCTTCGATCTGTGTGTGATTTGTTACCATCACCGACAAAACTGCACAGATGGGCCCTCGCATTCTTCTCTTTTTGGGAGGAGAAGTATTCTAGGACAAATATATACATGTATCTTCATGATCGTCGCTCTTTCCAGAGGAGGTATACATTACGTCACAACCAGGTACGACGAGAGCTGACAGATACGGTCGAGAGGGAATTAAACAAATATAAACAATTAAAGCGAAAACAAACACAGATCAAGTTTGCGACAGAGGTTGAGACTACAAACAAAAGATAGTTGAAAAACTTGAATCATGACACGGGGAGTTTGCAGCGGACATCACCCGGAAGCTGATATTCCAAGAGATAATACCAAAGTCAGTGTCAAACCAGACATGATATTGCGATGAATTGGAACAACGATCATCGAAGTCAGTTAGTTTACTGTTCCATTGAAGGAATAATATGGTGAAACCCATGAGAAAAGGACAAAATATGAGACACTGCTGGCAGAGAGTAGAGACAGATGGCGGCAAACATGGAGCGATCCAGTGGAGATCGGCTACAGAGGCTTTCCGGCACATTCTTTGTCGAAAGTTCTCTTCAACTGAATAAAAAGGACGATGCAGGCAAATAGTTGTACGGAAATGTCACAAGCAGCAAACACGCACCATGCTGGATGTGGATGAAGAAAGCACAAGCTGGAGACCCAACACCAACGCGCAATGATTGATCACCAGTGTGGACCCCTTCTCCGATCCCGAGAGAGTATAGGGAAAGGGGTCGGAACACAAAATAGAGGGATGGTCACGGGTAAGGACGTCGGCTGTGAAGTAGTATCAACACCAGTAATGTATTGATAAATTTTCAATTGGATAATCAATGGCTGCTTGGAAAGACTGACTTACAACCAAGAAGACATTGGAGACATTTGGAAAGACATACGGCGTCCAGAGGAGACCGGAATTTGGATGTGAGAACACCATACCAAGCTGCAACAAATTTAAAAAAGGGGGAGGGGAAAATGAAAAACGCAATGATTTGAAGATACAACGTCAATGACTCGGCTAGTTAAACTGGAATTGATTGGAAGAATTAGATGTAGGCCAGGGATGTAGCAGGGAGAACGTTTATAATACGTTTATAATACGAAAGAAGACCTAAGTAGACTTCAACAGCCACCAAGAAACCACAAATTCAGTGATCGGAGACCTTCGATGATAAAATTGACAAGACCCTGGGAAATACACTGGTTGTAAAAGGGCAAACGAAAGTGTCAGTTATGACAACAATTATTTCTACAGTGGGGTTGAAACGCTTGGAAGAACACTGAGTAGGAAAAAAGGAAAACCAGAATCAAGATCATAGACGTCAGCAAGAAATCCAATCGCTAAGGAGTGCGAGCAGATAAGTCTTGATGAGCTACGATCTTTTTTTTGAGAGAGTGTAGGAACAATTAAAAGGAAGGAGTAAAAGTAAGAAAAGCTCGAGGAGATGAGAAGTTCAAGAAAAGAATAATGTTTGATACCCATACAAGTATACAACACTAAAATACCACGAAGCTTGGAGTCCTTTAGAGCCAGAAAGATGATGTGGGGAGAAATCCAGCAGAAACTCACAGTGACAAACAGAATGGTGACCATTGGGTCCGTGTGATATAGGATAGAAGAAGTGACAGAACAGGAGGTGCCGATTGACTCCAAATGGTAAGGAGGGAAGTGCTCGATGTTGTTTGAAATGCAAGATCAGCATCAGCACCAGGTCCAAACGGTATCACCTACAAAGTATACAAGAAGTGCCAAACGATACTGACACATTTATGGAAAATACAGGAAGTGGTTTAAAGGAAAAGGAAGATGCCATCAGATTAGCAGAAGGCAGAAGGAAATTTTGTTCAGAAAGAGGAAAAAGTAGAACAAATTTACTAGTGCTTACACTAAGGATGACTGCATAAGTGTGTTGACAACTCGGTCTAGAATCGCGGGGTGCCTCGACTCTATAAGGACGCACAGAACATAACACCAGAATAATTACACAACTCATTTAGGAAGCAAAAGTCACCAAGAAGAATTTGACAAGGGTATGATTTGATTTGGACATGATATTGCCTGTGAAACTATCTAACATACCTGGGTATGCTTATAAAGCGGTCCTGAAGTATTTCATCGGAGGTTATCTTGATGGGTTACATCTGCGATTCATCACAAAGAGCTTAAGAACAACCTTGCAGAATCCATCCTTGATACTCTATGGGTTACGCTCACTTACGCTCCCTGCATCACTGGAATATATTATAGCAAAATTGAAGTCGGTATCGGGTAAGGAATACTGACCAATTGCTAGGCTGATACCCTTCCTTTGAAAGGAACAGAGGGGTGACACCAACTTCAAAACCAGTCAATTTTCCTGTTACCGGGCTACGAAATTCTTTCAATGTACATCGAAGGGTCTTCTTGTCTCATTCACAAGGTTGTCCGCACATGGAGCCTTCAAATTTGCCACGACATATTCCAGGGGTTCAGAGAGACAGTAACCTCTGCAGTGTCGAGGATGGACAGAAGCTGGAAAAGGCATAACTAAACTAAATGGCACGTACTTACTTGGTTGAACTAGATGGTAGTTATAAGTGTACATCTTGGTGATTACTTTTACATGACTTAACTACATGGCCAATACTTAGATGTCAGTTAGCTTTATTGATTAGTACTTATAAGTGACTTAATTAACTTCATGGTAGCTACTTATTAACTCAAGTACAGGGCGATTACTTATACACGTCTTAATTTTATGGAGAGTTCTCATAGGTGCCTTACCTAGATTGTCAGTATAATTTTACTTACAATGTACACGTGACTTAGTTATATTAATGAGTACTTTTAAGTGACTTAAATATGTCTCCCCTTCGAATGAAGGGAGACATATTGTATTAGTACTGGTTCTTCTTTTTCTGATTCTTCTAATCGGACTTGTCCGGGTCATTACTTTTAAACCGTTAAAAATATCTTGATGAAACTTTAGGTATGCATACATCACCCACAGGAGGTGTGCAGTGCATTGGAATTAGGTCAAATAAGTGACATTTTCAGCAAATTCTTGTCCGGCCCGTAAATTTGAAACTGTTAAAGATATCTTGATCAAGCCTGAACTATATCTGCATCACCCACATAAGGTTTGCAGTGCAATAGAATTAGGTATCATGCTTCACTATATACAGAGTAATGGCCCTTTGTTTGATTTTAATGTGAAGTTTGTCCTGAGCATAAGTTCCATGTCATTTTACCTACGTTGACCATACTTATCATATTTATGTATATTGGGAAGGCGGAATTTCTCACACTAAAATCAGATTTTCATGCCCCAGTATATACAGAGTTATGGCCCTTTGTTTATTCTTAATACCACAGTTTGTCCACGGCATAACTTCTAGACCATTAAAGATATCTTAATTAAACTTGAAGTATACCTGCATCACTTACAGAAGGTGTGCGGTGCACTGGAATAAGGTCCCGTGCGTCACATTATACAGAGTTATGGCCCTTTGTTTAATTTTAATACCAACGTTTGTCCTAGGCATAAATTCAATGTATCTAGTAATCCGTCCGTCTGTCCGTCCGTCCGTCTGTCTGTTTTTCGGGCAGATCGGATTCAAAATGGCTGCTAATCAGCCATCTTTGATTTTAACATTAAAAAAATTAAGTTGTTTTTCTCTTAACTGGTAAACATTTTGTTATGACATTATGGAGCAAAATTGTTCACAATACAACAAGAAGTCAACTGATCAAAGGTCAAGGTCAGATTTTGTATCTTTTAACTGCTTAACATTTTGTTTTGACATTATGAAGCAAAGCTGGTCACAATCAAACAAAGAGTCAACTGACTTAAGGTCAAGGTCACTGGGTCAAAGGTTAAGGTCAAATTTAGTATCTTTTCACTGGGGAACATTTTGTTATGACACTGAAGCGAAGTCGGTCGGAATTAAAACAAGGAGTCAGTTGACCAAGGTCAAGGTCGCTGGGTCAAAGGTGAAGGTTACATTTTGTATCTTTTCACTGGTGAATATTTCGTTTTGACACTTTGAAGCAATGTTGGTCAGAATAAAACAAGGAGTCATTTGACCAACGGCTAAGGTCAAATTTTGTATCTTTTCACTGATGAACATTTTGTTATGACATTATGAAGCGAAGTTGGTTTGAATTGAAGAATGAGTCAACTGACCAAAGATCTGGGTCACTTGGTTAAAGGTCAAGGTTATATGGGTCCAAAGGTCGAAGACAAAGTGGATCTCTGACTTTGACCCTGGCTATTGATGGGAGAGGTATTTAAGGTGAAATAAAACAAATCAAAGCTAACAAATGAGTATTACACCTGATTTATATTTCTGTTAGCCCAGCAAATATGGAGGTGGAAGGAAACAAGACTCACATCATAGTACATGTAAAATGTATATTTTTCTTCCTTGCGATTGGTTTTGAAGTCCAAATGTCAAACGTCAAGCTCAGCTATATGGGCAGATTGCTTCTTGATGATTATGGGGGATATATTGCCACAAGACGGGGCCCTTACTAACCTGTCAGTGTTCTAGTTTCAACATGTCTGAGCATGTCTTAACTATATGGCAAATTCTCATAAGTGCCTTAACTAGATGGTTAGTACTTAGTGTGAATTGTTAGTACTCAATGTGAATTGCCAAACCCTGGGGCCCTCCACATGGGGTCATTTTGGAAGGCCACTGGACCCCACTGGATCTGTGAGAAATAATGAGAGCTGAGCACACCATAAGGCAAATTACTTTATTGTACATGACCAATTTCATGGAGAAAGGACACTGACAATTATTTTAATATAACATTAGACCTTGCCTGTCTTGAATAAAGTTTTCTTTTTTTTTGCAGGAGGGAGGGTTTTATGTTGAATGTGGAGCGCTTAATGGTGAGAAAGGTTCCAACAGTCTATTCTTTGAACGAGTAAGAAAATGGAACGGCCTGCTGATAGAGGCAGATCCTACTAATTATAAAGCTTTGAAGAGTAAAAACAGAAAAGCATTCACACTTAATGCCTGTCTCTATCCAAAACCCCACCCAGCAGAGGTAAGAAATACTGTAAAGATGTTTGATTGTAGAGAAACTACCAGAAATGTGGTTGATATAGTTCCAATGCACCAATGCAAATTCGCCAAAATAACTTAAAGCTGCATTAATACATTATTTACCACATAATGGAATACCGGTATTTCTTTTGATCATTGTTCCTGGGGTGTATACTTATACATGGGGCCTGTTGATCACAACTTTTATTTAAAATGGTTAAGTAATCTCGTTGACTGACAATTTAAATTTGTTAAGGTACCGTCATCAACATGTTATCCTTTTTCTTATAAAAAGTTAAATCCTGGAATTTCTTCTATTTCTTACATAGCAAAAGTTCTGAACTTTTTGTTGATACCACACCCAGGGCGTGAAAGATATAAAGCAATTTTTTTTTTATTCTTTTGCATTCTGTAAAGAATTTAATGATTTACATAAGGTCATGCATGCCCATATTGGCCTCTACAAAATGACGTTCTTTCTTGTCAAAATTTTAATGCTACTACCTGGTAATGTTTTTTTTGGGTTAATACTTCTTCATAAGGGAATAATAAAGTGGTTTAACATACAGAGTGATGGTTGGAGAGGTGCCAAATGAGATAAGGGACATTATATCGATGTTTTACTGTGTTGTGACAGTCCTATATATGATTAATATTAAAATATTTATTTTTTCATATTATTCCCGACAAGCGATTGGCCAGGAGTGCATCACGTGTCAACTGATAAAAACCGATATTGACTTAGAGCGCATGATTTTTGTTGAAGGACTGGGTGTTTCTTTCTAAAAATAGAAATATGACATGTCTCTAAACAGACGCATCGTCCTGCTATGGTAGCTTTGTTTTTTTGTTTTTTTTTACAGATTGCTTACTGTTTTAAAAATAATAAAACAATTGTAGCCAAACTTCGGTCTATACCTGGATTTATCGACCCGAGAAAAGTCCTCGGTCAATATATCTTTCCTCGGGTCGATAAATCCAGGCATCGACCACAGTCGAAGGCAATAATTGAATAATACTCCCATATAAATATACAAACGTTTAATGATGTCCGAGATTGAAGCTGGAACAATATTTTCAATTTCACAGGTAATGTTTAACAAAGCATTTAACATGGGGAGGGCTATCCATGACGATTTTGTCCGGCAGTGGTTGACAAATCGAGGGATAAAACCCGATCCAGTTCCAGTCCAGTGTTTCCCACTTTATTCCATTCTGCTCGCCCTCAACCAAACGACCGTCGATTTCTTCAGCCTCGATGTGGAAGGAGACGAAGTTGAGATACTAAAGACTATTCCTTTTGATAAAATCAACATAAAAATGTTGACTGTGGAATATTCGCATGGATCTGGCGGAAAGTACGAACTGCAATACTACATGGAATCCCAAGGATATGACACACTAGTTTCTATGGAAAGAGACGATGGTGGTGTGAAAGATCTCATCTTCAAAAAGAAAGGGTTGGCGTCCCACTAAAGATTCAGTAACGTCTGAGAAGATGATGGACTTAAAGCCTTTAGACACAGGACAGCTGCCTCTACTTTCACTGAGGAAAAACAACTGTCCAAAATAAACCAAAACCTCAGAAATGAATATTGTAAGATTTGTTTGGTTTAAAATGCAATGATTTCTGTGGTAGATGATTTGTGTTAACTTGTGGTTTTATTCTGAAATCATTACATTATTTCATCGTTTGGCTTTCTGCTGTTTCAGTATGTTATCCGAAAATAAGATTGTCATTTAAAGAAAACAAAACAAATTTGTTTTTGGGCTTAAATTAAAATGTTTAATATCAGCACAATATTCCATCTTTGCATATAGCAGAGTTATCTTCTCTTGTGAGCAGGTATTGATTTTTACGTCATTGAGAGTAACGTCATCAATTTTTGAGCAAACGATGTAATCAATCAATACCTGCTCACAAGAGAAGATAACTCTGCAATATGCAAAGACGGTATAACTTAACTACATGTATGAACCAGATAGCTAGTAGCCCCATCCAAAATGATAAAATATTGAAAAGAATAATGTTTGGGAGGAATGTTGATGAGATTTTTTTTTTAAAGAAGCTGGCAAAATAACAACCAGTATAGATTTTATTGCTTTGATGTATGTGAGGTTAATATGATGAAAAAAAAAGAAAATTGCTCCAACTGATTTATCTAGCATATTCAAATCTGTTTTGTGGTTCTTTGATAGCATAAATGACAGAATGTTATAACTTTCTATTAGTGTTGTAGACTGCAAATCATGTTTGGACAAGTATTTGTTAGTACATGTAGCTATATACAGAACATATTAGGAAATATTTCATAACCAATTAATTCAAACTTTTACAAATTTTTGTTCAGGGTTAAATAATAAAAGATGATCGAAAATCAATCAAATATATATAATTTACAATACGCAATATTGTCAAACCCAATTTTAAATGGATCCACTGAAGTGAAAAAGATCAGAGTTATTGGGATAAAAGACAACTGCAATAAATTGAGAAAAATTAAATTAATTTTATTCCATAATATAAAATTGTTATTCATTCTTAAGGTTGGTTTATGTATAATAATTAACAGAATAACAGACTTTATAATATGAACTTATATTTTGAATCAGAAAATACATTAATTGGTTAAAATCACAAAGTCAAGAAACTGCAGGTGTAGAACACATCCATTACAATACCATAAAACAAAATTTTACCTGTGAAATATTAATGGTTTAATGGAGAAAATAAAGTTGATACTTTTCCTGTGTGAAAAATGAAACTACAGATATTTTCCCCAGCAAACTGACTAATAAAAAAACTCATATTTACATTATTTTCATATTTTCATATGTAACAAATAGAATACCCAATATTTCATGATGAACATATACTAATAAAGGTATATATTTCCACGTACAAACACGAGATTTACCAAGTGTCTTTTGAAACTTTTGAAAAATAACTTACTCGTATGAGATAAATATCATTAAAAAATATCAATTAACCATCCATATTGAGCCATGGAATTTGATCGTCACACAAATTTTGTTTAAACGTTTACATTTTATCATCAATGGTATTTTACCTTCTCATCATGTACTGTAATTATATATAATAATACAATCACATAATAATGAATACAAAAAACAATTAAACGTTAAAAAACGTCCATAACCGTCACCCGAGTTGTATAATACAATGTGGCACTAGTTTCCAGACTGATCCGACGACTATACTATGGGATTCCGTCTGTAGGTGGCGCCTGTTTTACACTGGACATGAAGATCTTCCAACAAGAGTATAAATATTTTCACAAATCCTTTACACAACTTTTTATAGAAAACAACCTGTGAATCTTAACTCATTCACCCCTGAAGACACATTTGAATTCTTCCAGTTCAAAGGTTGGAATAGTTCATTATGAAGTTTCAGGGGTGAACAAGTTACTATTTAACATGTATACGTAGTAGCAACAAAATAAATTTCACTCTCTCTGTCATTGTCCATAATAAGTATTTTACAGGATATAATTGACACATGTTGTAGCATACAAACAATGTAATTTTAATTTCATTCCTAAAATTATTCAATGTATGTGAATGTACAATATCATACAAATTCCACAACAAGTTATTGTTGTTTATCATGTTTACTTAATTGATTTAGTTAATTTTAAATTCATTCAAATCTAAAACAGAAAATGAGTATGAGTATTAGAATTTGTTTTTCTCTCTAAAATTTGATTATCAACCCTTTCACCACTGTAAACCATAATGGACTCATCCACATCAATGCATGGGAGAGTCTACTAAAGTGACATAAGGGTGAAGGGTTAAGTTACAAGTGTTAGGTAAATATGATAAGCAACAATCGCACGTTTCTTTCTACGGGCACCCTGCGTTATGATTATGTCAAGTGATCACAACATTTTTTTAAACCATCCTCATATGATCCTAGCTAGCTTTTGCGAATACATTAAACACCAAACAAACAATTTAAAAAAAAAGATAATTCAGGTAACAGAATTTTGTTTTAAGGTGTCAAGTTTGCAAATTAATTTTCGAAAATCACATTGCTTTGTTTCCATACAGCTTCAACTCATTCACCCCTGAACTTTCATAATGAACTATTCCAACCTTTGATTTGGAAGGGTTCAAATATGACTTTGGGGTGAATGAGTTCAACCCAAAATTTATTTTATTTTTTACTTCAAATTTGATAGAGATCTATTTTAATTAATTCTGTACGTCCATGAAATTTCAGCAACCATTACGGCACTTCATCACAGATGAATGTCCATAAAAGTGGACCATGAAAATCGAGAGTTAATGTTCAAACTGCTAGGCTCAAAAGTTCAGGAATTTAACCAATCAGAGAGACAGGTTTAAACAGCAGGTTTATAAACACTTTAGTTTAATTAACATCTTTCATTTAATGGATGACCTGGGAGATGATAAATAGGAACAGCTGAGGTAGAAACACAATTTATAATTATTCATTACTTGATAACACTATCAGTGTCTCCAATCGTCTCCGAGTCCAACATATTCTCTTCATCTCTCCAAGTTGGAAACGTTGTCTTCGTCTTTCCATGTCAGACACAATTTATTTATAACCCTAGGATAAAAGTATTCTGTTTAACTTCCCGAGTTATAATTATTCATTACTTGAGAACACTATCAGTGTCTCCAATCCTCTCCGAGTCCGACATATTCTCTTCATCTCTCCAAGTTGGAAACGTTTTCTTCGCCTTTCCATGTCGGACACAATTTATTTATCTCCCTGAGGTAGAAATATTCTCTTTAACTCCCCGAGTCAGAAACATTCTCTTCTTCTTCCGATTCATCTTTGGACTTAAATATTTTTTTCAGTTTCCTTCGTCTCCTAAATGCTGGTCGTATATCACACTCGTCCATATCCTCTTCCTTGTTCAGATAGCCTGTAGGTGGAAAGTCAAATCCTTATTGTTATAATTTAAAATTTAAATCAATTTGGCTACATGTACAGCATACATACACATATAGGAACATGTCAAGTTAATCTGAAGAATCATTGTGGAATAGCTACCTGACTTCTTTTTAGTTTTCTCTGTATAACTGACTATGCTCTGGACTCCTGCAGTTTTTGCTTGACATTTTGAAACAAAATCCACTGAAAATTGAGTCAAAATGAGTCAAAAGGATAAATCTAAGGGTCAAAATTAGTTCTGACCTTTAGGTTTGATAGGAAATATCTTTTTGATTTGTTTTTAGTGTGCAATTTTTAGGGGCCAAATGTTATTTTACATCTGTTATACTGTATTTGACATCGGGATTCTATACTTGATCCTGTGATACTATATAGTTTTATATCCGACTCCAGGATTCTGTACTTAATCCTAGACTAAAATAAGTCTATATTTGACTCTATGATTCTACACTTGACCTGAGATACTATATACTCTTACCCTGGACAGGTGTAACCATAATTTTACTGGTGTGAGATTAATAGATCTCCCACTACCTTGTGGGTGTGACAGAGAAATCTCCTACCCAAGGGGTGATGTTTTTGGTTGTCTAACCCGAAGCTGTGCCAATGATTAGTCAACCAAAAGAAATCACCCCGAGTGTTGGAGATTTCTCTGTTACATCCCCCAAGGTAGGTGATTTCAGTCACAACTCCACAACAGTAGTCTGCCGTGTTTTAAACAAAAACACATATGGATATGATAATCATCATTCACTTATGTTGACATCACCAATAACGGATACACATTTAAATAACGTCACAATTGAACACATGCTCATTGACACGAGGCTATCTCCCCCTAGAGGGTGACAAGCTGATTTTTCTCGGCTTAATCGGGAGACACACCCGTGAAGGGTGGGAGAAATCCTTGTCTCACCCTAGGGTTGAGACGGCAGGAATCTTCCTATTCATAACAATGGTATGATGTCACGTCAACAATACAATGTTGTCATGTCAACAGTCCATCAACATCATTTCAACCCTGAATTTAGCCTGTAACGTTAACATTACATTATATTTATTAAGAGGAAGAGAAAAAGAATCATTCACCCATTGAGGGTGAGATAGGGGAATCTCAACTCCAAGGGGAAAGATTCTTATGTTGCCAAACACTCGGCAAAGCCTCTTGTTTGACAACTTAAAAATCTTCCCCCTCGGGTTGAGATTTCCGTATCTCAGCCCCGAGGGGGCGAGAGATTCTATAAGTCTATATCTGACTCCAGGAGTCTATAAAATCTTGGGCTAAAATAGTCTATATTTGACTCCGGGATTCCATACTTGATCCTGGAATATTTTAGTCTCCATGATATTACTCGAGTGGCATCATTTTCCAAGGGAGTATATGTGTCTGGGGAGGAGTTGAAGTAAGGCCCTTGTAGAATGAAGGGAGTCATTTATCATACAAGCATGCAATATATCCTTTACATTTAGGTAGCACACAATATTAAGAATTTGTGAACTTTAACTTTTCAGATACAGGAGTCCATTTAGAAGAATCTATACACTGTGATGTCAAACTGTTATTTCAATCAAACTTAAATTGTTCTTGGTACTCCAGGGGTTAAAATCACTTACATTCTCCGCACCCCTGGAATATGTTATAGCAAAATTGAAGACACGAGTCCAGCTATTTGAATGGTATCACGGGTAAGAAAAACTGACCAATCGCTAGGCTGATACCAAGCAGAATGAGCTAGTGTAAGATCTCAAATATTTACTCCAAGTCATCACATTTGAAAGTTTCAGTGGTAGAATAGAATAAGAACATCTACGAGTCTACATACCTCTCTCCTCACACTCCTGTGTGTCGGGGAAGCCAATGGACCAGAAATGGGGCGGGGTCTGTGGTGGTACATAGTGGGCACGGTGCTTAGAACAGCTCTGCACTCTCTCTTTGATCTCCTCTTCACCCAAACCCATCGCAGAGTAGTACTGCATCGAACAGAAATATTCAAAACAATCAAATTTGAGGAGCTGATGTCTCCTGCTTCAAACCACCAATAATTGTTACTGCATTAAACAAACAGAAATACTGTATACTGGGAAATTTTCCTCCCTCAACAGTTAAATCAATTTTTGCCCAGTATTAAATTCACCCTTTGCATTTAATTACTATGTTTATTATACATTGTTTACAAATGTTCCGTGTAATGATAAGGTGGTCCTCATTACGGAGAGCGAAAAAGGTAAAAACTTAACTGCAGCGAAATCTTCTTGATAAAAAGTATGGAAAACGATTCAGTTTTAGGAGCTGATGCTTCCGCAGGACTCACCACTAACACTGCTCCTCTAGCTGAAAACTCGTAGATTTCAGCGAGTGAGTTACTGAACATAACTAGTCTATCACTTCACTGATAGATTACATAAACAAATATTTCTCTTTAAAAATCGCTTAAAGAACAGAAAAACTGCACTGTCATTTTCAAAATTATGCCTGAATTTATCATATTTATAGGCAGAGAGTACGTTTACGATTTGAACAAAATTCTCATGTAATACCTGACAGCATCCTGCATCATCACTTGTAAATTGTGTCACAATGGGATAAACTCCATATGAAGGGAGGTAACTCTCATAAAGATATTCATATCAAATGGTAATATTACAAGGCTAAAGCAGTTGACATGAATTCTCTGTAATAGGATTTTTCTATTATTATAATCTTTCAATCATTAATAATTTGATATCAACAGTAAGTTGTAAATCGTACTATACATGAGCTACTAGTTAATTATATATAATATGACAGAAACTCTCTTCCTGATGGCTCAGTAACACTGATGTAGGACTTCTAGCAGAAGCAGTATCAAATAATCCATTAACTAGTCCAAACAAAAAATAGACTAACTCTGTACTTAACAGCCAATCAGAATGAGAAAGACATTATTTGTTTTGTTCTGATCTGAGTTGAAGATAAAGATCAAAAGTGTAGCAATGGGGGAAGCAGATTGATTTTGGTTTCCTTTATCCCCTTCTGTACAGAAGATGCAGAAGAAAACTTTCAATTCTTTACACATATTAGTCAACTAATACAACATGCAGCAGGATATAGCAGGCCTCTTCTTTCCCCAAACCAACAGGAGTTACATATTCAATGGTAAAAAAAATCACCATTACATTAACTCATTCACCCCTAAAGACATATTTGAACTCATAATAAAATCTGAGGGGTGAATGAGATAAAACACCTCACATACCCAGGGGTAAGTCATGATTTAAGTATAGGACTTACCTCATAGCATTCCTTACACTCGTAGCCAATCAGATTACGTCTCTCATTCTGTTTCCTCACCACGCCCACAAAGGCATACTTAGACTCTGCCTTGTCAGGTACCCTGAAACACATCACAAAAGCTTCATTTACAGGATATAGATCTATGTACAAAACTAGCATAGGTGTCAACCTCTGAAACCTCCAATGATCTCCCTCATTCCACATTTCTAATGAGGGAGAAAGTGTGTGAAACGTGACTGAAACCGCTTTGCTCAATTTACCTTTCCTTGTTTGTATCAAAATAACTCAAAAAAACATTCGTTTGATTCAGACACACCTGTTATGATCATTACACACAGGGAGATTGGTAAATTTTGGTCATATTGAGGGAGGGTTGACAGCTATGCACTAGTGGTGTTGGTATTCCCTAATTTACATATTCTGTAGCCCCATTTAGATAGCTTTACTGTTGTAAACCTGAGATAGATTACTGATTAACTCGTTCACCCCATGGTTCATTATGGAATTTCAGGGGTGAATGATTTAAGTGTTGTAAACGTTGAGAGCTTATCAAGTTCTTATACCAAATAAGAAAATCAAAATTCTGACAGAAAACGATCACTTTTCTTTACCTCAGTCAGGAATATTTAAGTAATATGTTATGCTAGATTTTTCCATTACGTCCGATTAGTCACGCCCCTATTCATGAAATTTGGTGGCGATATATTCATTCACAGCTTTTTAATTATAATTAAAAATCTGCATTGAAGATATTCTACTTTTTCATTAATTGTATTGTTTTGATTCTACTTTTAAGATATTCTATATAAGATATAATCTATTCCATGAAATACATTTCCTCCCTCTTTTATCAACATGGACTACTTACTAATTACACTGCAGTTTTCAAATGTAGCTTTAGAAGTACAGAAGCCTATCATATTACTTTGAGGCTGGGATACTTATAAACTACAATTATATAAAATGGCATGCACGAAAAAAGATCATTTACCTTCAGCTAACATTCTGTGGTGTGCCATATATTAGTTGGAATTACAGAAATGCAAATGTATATTGTAGAAACAGCAGCTAAGCTGTGGAATGGTATCACGTAATTTTCACTTAGTTACATTTATACTATTTTATAGATATTATCAGTTTTTTCTTTTTTTTATACTGAAACAAAAATTTCAATCTATACATCCTAAAAAGTACTTTTTTAAAAAGATTTTTTTTGGTGACGCCCCTTTTTTGTAATTCCATTGCATACAAACTCTGTATGTTCTGTTCAATTTGAAAAGTAATTATAACTTATCCCATCCCTGTCAGTCTATACTAAGTTTGACCGTACTTATCAAAACTGTCATTAAGCCGTGCAACGTGTTCCTGCTCCTCTTCTGATTTACCAGGATCCTTCTCTTTGGTATCTGTAACATAAGATATAAACATACACTACTCATTGGTATTTGTATAGTAAATGTATAGTAAAGCACTTTTCTACGAGAATTCCTTTACAAAATTCATTTACCTGCAGCTATATGAGATATTCACACATAAGAATGTTTCGAAAAATGAAATTATGTCAAAACATGACAAATGAACAGAAAATGAATTTTTCAATAAACTATAAATGTGATTGTAAGACACAGATGTCTCCTTGCCATATTTACATGTAGCCAGGGGCCAAGGTCAAAGTTCAAGATTACTAAAAGTCATATGATACAACATGGTGTACAAAGCATTAACTCATGATCATTCACCCTAAGAAACATTTGAACTCTTCCAATTCAAAGGTTGGAATAGTTCATTATAAAACTTCAGGGGTGAATAAGTTAACATGTGAATTATGTGACCCTATACAAAATACCTAGTATGAGCTGATAGTGATAGCCAAGGGTTAGCTGACAATGTAGACAATTTTAAATCATAAACTTTCAGAGTAACTAACTATTTTCCAAGACAGTACAAACACATACTACATCATAGTACATGCAGTATAAAGAAGTACATGTATATATAGTAAAAGATCTCTATAATGCCACCATTTGTCCAGAAAAAAGTTTGGCACTATGAAGGAGTTTGCAATAAATTGAGGGAAATGTTTAAAGGAATTCATCAGAAAACAAGTAAAAGGAACATTGAAATATGTTAGCAGTAAATGAGGCCTGCAAATTAAATGAAACGAGGGGCACTATATTGAGGTTTTACTGATATATATGGGACTTACATGAGATTCCATTTCATATGAAATTTATGAAACGAGTCTAAGAATGGTTCAATTCAGCAAGCCTCTGGCGAGCTAAAAGGAAAAATTCATGACAAGTTTAATAAATTCGCCATTTTGACTCCAGTGCGTAAGCCTGTAATGTCTTGAACTTTTCCTAGGCGTGACATCACAATTGAAACTTACAACCAATCATGGGGCTGATAGGTCATATTACATGGGTTAATACGCCAACAAATATGACATGGGTATATTCACTGAATAACACAGTACATTGTGTGATAAATATACCTACCTTCTAAAGTGTAGCCAGTTGTGACGATGGCACGTTTTTTCCTTGACCCAAACTTTACACTTCGTGAGCTACAAGGAATACTCTGAGAATCCTCGTCAATACATGTCGAGGTTAGACGCCGCGATTCAGTCTCATTGTCTCCATGTTCCAAATCATCGATTCGAAAATCTCTCAGAGTGGCCACGCTGTCGTTTAAAGAGGGGACGTGGATTTCATCGAAGTCGAACTCTACAGAGGCACTCTCCTTTATTCCAGCACCCTCTTGTTTATGGAACGATAACTGCTTTCTTGTCGGAACTTTTTCCAAGATAAGTTCTGAATCTTCGTCACACAGCACTGACAAATGTACATTCGGATCCATACTTCCATTTCTACTTAAAGCATCACAATCAACAGATGACAATTTTTTCTTTCCGAAGTAACTTTTGTGTTCGGACTGTTTCTCCAGTCTTGCCGAATCAGGTGACATTGTTTCATCTAAGTCAATTACATTTGACATTTGACCCCGCAGAATCGTTGACCCCTTGTAAGGTGACCTTTGACCATGTACAATTGATGACCCCTTGCCAGGTGACCTTTGACTCTGTACAAATGATGACCCCTTGCCAGGTGACCTTTGATCATGTACCATTGATGATCTCTTACCAGGTGACCTTTGACCACTTAGCATGGATGACCCCTTGTCAGTCCATGCAGCTCTTTTCAGAGGACTTTCCGATGAACAGTGGCGACTTCTGTTTTTCTTGGAAGGTATCACTGGTTTTTTGAAAGGTGGAGTATTTTCCTTCGTTGTGTCTTCCACATCTTCCTCTGTGACATCACCTCCAATTCTGTAGCTACTCGGACGCTCCGTGTCTCTCAGCGACAATTGTATTGCTTTCTGTAGATCCTCTTCTTCCTGTGAGTCAGTTTTCTTCTTTCTTCTTCTTGGAGGACTGTTGTTGAAAACTTGACTCAGAGTAGTCTGGCGTAGTTGCCGTGACGATAAGGAATCATCGTTGCTGGTGACAAGTTCCACTTTACTCCCTTTACCTAACTTTAGGGCTTTCTTTTTTGGTGATTTACTGTTGGGAATCAAAGGTTCAAAGGAGACAACAGACAAGCTTGATCCCCTTGAATTCATTCTTGTCTTTGATCTTAAAATACATGGAGACTCATCCTCGTCCACTTGGTCAAGTTTCTCCTTGAAACACAGTTCTTCAGCTCTCTTGCTAGTTTTTTCTTTCAAACTTGACCTTGGACTGTCAATAATTGTGATGTCATCGTCCATCAAATTAGAACCCCTCAGTATGGATGGAGATTCCGGCTCCTCCCCAACTTCCTCCGTCTTTGACCCCTGGAGAAGTGACGGAGACTCTATACTGTCTTCTTGTACACCCCCTACCTTAGTGATAGGGGATTGAAGCAGAGCAGACGGGGACTGACAATGTGAATTCGTCTGCAGATTTGTCTTCTGTGAGGTTCTAGTACTTTTCCTTTCCTCACGAGAATTCTGCTTTCCATTTACAAGCTTCTCTTGAGCCAGCAGCAAGGTTTCTCTTTTGAAAGGTTTAACACTTAGGAACATGTCATCTTGTTTTGACGGCCCATCCTGTTTCCTATCTCTGTTAGACCTTGTGCACTTATCACTATCTTTTTCCCTCTGTGACCCTTTGCAGGTAATACTCTCATTTTGTTGAACACATCTACCTGAAACTTGAGACCTACTATTTGAAGTAACATTGATTCCATCAGAAATTGTCTTGGCAACTCTCCTCTCACATCGCTTCTCCTCCTCCGTCTCCATAACAACACTCTGACCACTGAGCTGCATTGTTCGGCGACTGACAACATTCCTCATGTCCGTGGGGCAGTCTTCGCCATCTGATGACGGAGGACTACACAGCACACTTCGTAAACTGTAGTTCTGGCTTGGTGCACGTTTTATCGTTGACTGTGTACAAATTTCCTCTTCTTCTTCTTCTTCTTCTGATGATGATGGGTATGCATCAAAAAAGTTCACAGTTTCCGGAATGATCTGAATATCTGTGGCACAAACCTCTTCAACATTCCCACCAGTCTCCCCCCCCTGCCTCTGACCTCCACCCTGATCTCTTTTCCTGTATACATTAGGACTGCGTAAACTATCATCCAATGAAACTATTTCACTCCCAGCACTGACATTTGATTGGTTGTAGAGGTCACATGTCTCAGGAACCAGAATATGCTCTTTTTTTCCCCCTGATGAATCATTTCTCTTAGCAATTTTTTGTCGTTTCTGGTCTGGGGAAATTGTCTGTAAATTAGAAATATAAGCATATACAGATTTTTAAAAAAACATTTGAACAAGTCTTTTAATTTTATTCTTTTACATAAAAGTGTAAAAAAATAGCAGCATTGTGTTATCATTTTTCTAGTTTTGCACATGTGCCTGACTGATCTCACCACAAGTCTATTTTTAGTAACAGTTACAGTGACCTTGACCTTAGAAAAAAATTTGAACCCCTTTTTGCAAATCTATATCTCCAAGTGTATTACCTTGTCAAATTTTTAGATATTTTGATTTCCAAGATAATCTTGAGAAACGAAAGTGTAGACCGACGGACAGACACTGTGATTACTATAGGGGCAGGTCCTAATGAGCCATTTCAATGTATTATCCATGAGTTTTCTGCCAGAGTGTATTATCTGGTAATAATATTTAACAATTGATGATTTGAGGTTCTTATATACCGCTTTATCACAACCTAGTTTGTAGGTCGTCTCAAAGCAGCTCACAAATTATTATCTGTGGTTATAGGCCTTTGCAACCAGCCAATATCTTTCTCAACTCCCTCGGAAGCATACAGCCGGTGCTGCCATTTCGGCGCTCACAGCTAGCATTCTTCAATTCTAGCACTGCCCAACCACGTACTCATTTACAGCTGAATAGACTGGAACAGATACAACACAGTGCTGTGCCATGACTCGAACCTGCAACCCTTCAGTTACAAGCCTTGTGTCCTACCACTAGACTACCATGCCTCATAAGACTGTTAGATTATTTTACAAAATGCTATATTTCAGCTTTTAGGCTATCCCCCAGTATATATAGGTAGTATGCAGAAAACTATCGTACAAAATAGGTCACCTTAATTGGCCTAATTATTTTGAGAAGGAAATGCTAGAACTATGGATAAATATATACTCTTTTGAGGTTTTACAATTGAAAAGCTGATTTGTTAAAAACTTCCATGATCAGTTCATTTCTACCCATTGTTGTATTAGTGATACTGTTTACTGCAGGGTTTGGAATTTGATATTTAGATCACGAGCATGCAGGTAGATTTTGAAAAAAAACAACAGAACTAGCTGGACTTCTTAATTATATTCGTGTGGAATTGTACACCCTGTCACTGTTTTATGAGCACATGAAAACTGATTTCAAAGAAAAACAAGCCATTCAATTTGATACGTCTCGCCTGTGCCCCACTCTGACCATCACATAGCAAGTTTGGTTGGTCTAGCACACGAACATAATGATGATGAAGATGCTGTCAAAGTCAATGGACCATGAAAGGTAGGCCGCATCCAGCATTTGATGCATGAGTTGAGATGTACTACCTAAGATGCATCTATGGTCCAAGTTTGGTTGGTCTAGCACACGAACATAATGATGATGAAATGCTGTCAAAGTCAATGGACCATGAAAGGTAGGCCGCATCCAGCATTTGATGCATGAGTTGAGATGTACTACCTAAGATGCATCTATGGTTCAAGTTTGGTTGGTCTAGCCCACGAACATAATGATGATGAAATGCTGTCAAAGTCAATGGACCATGAAAGGTAGGCCGCATCCAGCATTTGATGCATGAGTTGAGATGTACTACCTAAGATGCATCTATGGTTCAAGTTTGGTTGGTCTAGCCCTTATACTTTCAGTGAAACCGCTACTTCGTGGTGGTGGGACGAAAAATATCTTACATGCACCGACATTTGAAATTTATAGATAAGTTTAAGACTATTTCTTACCACTAGACCTGAACTACCTAGGTGAAATATTATGAGGATTATTTTTTTCATCTGGCAGGCTCAGTGTGTTCATTAAATTCTAATTGACATTAACATGCAATAAAAAGCACAATATGGACCTTTCGGACCAGAAACAATTTTCCAGTAAAATCTAAACAAAAATTATATGCCTTTAACACCTTAAACACATACATTCTAAGAGGAGACAAACTGGACAAAAATAACAACAGCTGACACAGAAAATGTGTACCTGTGTTATTACATTGATTATGAACATAATATGGACTTTTGGGACCAAGCTCATTTTACTGAAAAATCTGAACAATTTTTTCTTTCCTTTAACGTCTTATTATAAATACATTCTTAGAGGAAACAGAGAAGACCACAGTTAAAACATCACAAGTTGCAGGAAATATAATATGCTATTATTATGATTATGTATTTGTTTCGTTTTCTGTGTACCTCTGCAGTGTATCTGTGCCGTTTCTGGCCCCGAGATAAACAGAGTTTTGTCCCCTTGTTCTGCCCACCTGGTCCTGACACATCTGAGCTCACTGAAACCATGTCCCTGTCCTTCAGTGGTGTTGTCCGCATGGTGGAGTCTGGACTCTGCTTCCTGCTGGATGGTCGAATCGATACTGCCTTTGCTTCATCTTGTTTTTTTGGAGTGGAAAACCTGTGTGGTCAAGTAAACAGACATCAAGTATCAAAATTTATCAATTGAAGTTGTATAGGGTAAGGGGATAATTATTTTTCTTGCATCCTTTTATTTCAGTCACAACACCACCGACAATAGTCTGCCATGTTTGTAAACAAAAACACATGTGGGATATACATATCATCATTCGCTTTTGATGATGTCACAATTGCCGGTGACACATTTTAATGACGTCACAATTTCTTCAAAACCTCTCCTGCCAAGCACTTGATTATGACGTCATCTATGACCCCCACCCCCACCCCCCACCTCATTTTATCTTAGTAGTGTTTTTTTCTGGGTGGCTTCTGACAGGGAAAATACTGGAATTTGAGAGCAGTAGGCCATTTTCAGTCAATATCAAAATTAAGAGGGGCCAATCTATGTAAAATTAAAAGAAAATTGGAACATGTAGGGGTCAATTTCAGTCTTGAGGGGTCAATGGCCCCATGACCCCCTCCAGGATTATCCCTACATCTGTCATACCCTTGGGGGTAACATAATTGAAACACAGATTACTGCTTTTTACCCACGCCATGGTTCAAACAGTGTCAAACATTAGACTTCTTGGCCAATGGAGAAGCTGTCAGTCAGAAAATCTAGTCTCAAAGCTGATCAATACATAAGTAGACGTCACGGGTGACTGGGGATGTCATGCTTTATACCTAAAGCTTACTTGAGGAGGGCAGTCAAATGTTCAAGATCTCAGTGCCAAAGGATGAGGCGGTGAGGGTTGTTGCGGGGTTAATGTCAAACACTCTCGACATCAAGGTGAGTGGGGCTGTCAGATATTCTAGATCTCAAAGCCAACCAGGGCCGTCAAATATTCAAGAACATCTCACGGATGACTAGGACTGTCAAACACTCTAGACCTCAAGGTGAGTGGGGCTGTCAGATATTCTAGACCTTATATAGCCAACTGGGGCTTTCAAATACTCTAGACCTCAAGGGTGACTGGAACTGGTAAATGCTTTAGACCTCCTGCTAGCCAGGGCTTATTTCAAGGTGGTGCAACACTAAAACTCTGATACCTCCACACTAGGTTCTAGGGACATTATGAAATCCAGTCAGCTATACACATTTCTAGTTACTACTTAAATAATAAAATACCTTAGCTTGAGTTTTGGCAGGAGTGATTCTCCACCTGAAACTTCTGTCAATCTTGCATCTGAAACAAAACACACAAGAATTTCACATGCAGTAGTTTTTCAACCATCTCTCCGTAGGAGCCTGTGCCATTTGTATTTTGAATCTTTTGTGGCATTAACTGTTAAAAATTTGTATATTTTCATAAATGTACATGTATTATACAACTGCTGAACATTTTTAATGTATTAATTACAAAACTCAAAACAAAATTAGATTATCGCTATTTTTGAAAAGAAAAACAAAAAATCACTAATTTTGGGAAAATACAGCTTAAACTCGCTCTGGGATGGGTAACAATTTTCGACATGAAATTCCATAAAATTTAAAGACAAAGACATTTATAATTCATGCTAATACTGATTCTGGTTGTTTCTCTGAGCATACAGAAAATTGTTCAACAGCATCTTATAAGGTAGTACATTTTCTACAACATAGTGCTACATATAAGTTCTATGAACCCTATCATTCAAATACATTTAGTAAAATAAAAGTCACAGATAATTACCTGTGTGACATACTAACCTAGTAAAGTAATGACAAGTGTGACTTTTGTGACCTACTTACAAAGTAAGGCAATGATCCTGTGTGACCAGTTTTGACATACTTACTTAGTAAAATTATGACCGGTGTGACCTATTGTGACCTACCTATCTAGTAAAGTAATGACAAGTGTGACTTTTGTGACCTACTTACAAAGTAAGGTAATGACTGGTGTGACCTGTTGTAACCTACTTACCTAGTGAGGTAACTACTGGTGTGACCTACTAACCTAGTAAGGTAACTACTGGTGTGACCTGTTGTAACCTACTTACCTAGTGAGGTAACTACTGGTGTGACCTACTTACCTAGTAAGGTAATGACTGGTGTGACCTGTTGTGACCTACTTACCTAGTGAGGTAACTACTGGTGTGACCTACTTACCTAGTAAGGTAACTACTGGTGTGACCTACTAACCTAGTAAGATAATGACCGGTGTGACCTACTAACCTAGTAAGGTAATGACCGGTGTGACCTACTAACCTAGTAAGGTAATGACCGGTGTGACCTACTTACCTAATAAGGCAATGATCCTGTCCTTTTCCTCCAGACTATCACTGTACGACTGCCTTAGTGTGTCTAGAGATTTCTGTAAGGTCTCACACATGGTACACTTCACACCCACTTCCCTGTACGGAAAAATAAATAGCATTTGATACTAAAATAACATAGTTTTATATCATAACAAGAGTTCCACGAAAGTGGATACGTGACCTGGCGGTAAGCTGGGAGATTACGAAGAAATAGATACGCTTTTCATTTCAAGAAATAATGTTGGAAGTTATTTACTATTTTTGGTAACAGTGACCTTGACCTTTGACCTTCGGGCCTGAAAAGCAATCCCAAGCAAGCACTTTTGGTAAGGAAGCACTGCATGAAGTTTGAGTTTGATCGGCCCAAGGAAACTCAAGTTATCGCACGAAAACCTCTGTGCGGACCCCGCCGACACCGACATAGCAATACCTATGTGTCACCAGCTTTTCGCAGGCGACACAAAAAAAGAAATAAGAGCACAATAAACCACTCCTTTTTAATACCTTTCATTCATGTGATGGCTGTGATTTTGACATTTCTGTAGACAAAGTTTAGTATGTAATACAAATGATTTATTTGATATGTTATTAATGGGCCTATTTTTCAAAAGGTACCCATTTGAAAAAAGAAAGAATCGCATATGATGAATGCGAAACAATTTGTCAGAGGCCCCCACCACTCAACAATGTTGGAAGTGATTTAATACAAAAAAAGTTCGGCAGATGTGGATTTATACCTACCACTATGATTCACATCTTTATCATGAAAAACCAACAACATTTATCTATTGTCCACAAATCATAAACAGAGTGTATTTCCCCTCTAACCTGGAGTGGAGCTTGCTGACAGTGTCGAGTAGGTTAGCCACTTCCTTACACAGACCTCGGTTCTCCACTCTCTGGGCATGGTATTCATCCTGACATCTAAAACAAGATATGACAGTATGTTTAACAATAATGGTTACAGTATATAACAAGAGGCGCAGTGGCCTGAACAGCTCACCTGATCTTAAGTTATATAACCTAGTATGTTCAATAAGTTACATGTCTATAAAAATCACAAAATAAAATACAAGTGGAAAGCAGGCAGAAATTTAATAATGAAAGTCTTTAATGTTTTCGTTGTTTCTATTCCGTCTTTGCGTATTGCAGAGTTATCTTCTCTTGGGAGCAGGTATTGATTGTTACGTCATTAATTTGTGCGAGAAAATTACATTGTTTTCTCAAAAAGTGATGACGTTACTCTCACAAACAAGTGACGTAACAATCAATACCTGCTCCCAAGATAAGATAACTCTGCAATACGCAAAGACGGAATACCAGGCTAATCACTGGTACATCAGGCAAGTATACATTCCTAATTACAAAACAAATTCCTTGTCTCCAGTTATATAACATACCACAGATCTAGAGGTATAACAAAGCACACTGAAAATGAATTTATATTTCCAACTTACTTTTGCTTTTGTGCTTTCAATTTTTCAAATCTTTCTCTCCATGAATCAGTTTTATCTTTTAATTCTGAAAAAGGGAAGGAAATTAACACTGATGTATCACAGAATTTCCACTGACCTTATATTTTAATTGACAAGACAAAACTGTCCCTAAATGAAACCTGTCAGCACATTTATGATAACAGGACCGTTAACTTATTATAAGAACAACAGACAGGGACTATAAACATTTTCTATGTCATTCCTGGCCTGGGTCCAGGACTTTTTCAGCTGAGGAAGCCCAGGGTCCTGCCATCGTTTCTGTAAACTGTCCATACCTGGGTACTTTGTTTACCACTTTGATGACTGAAAGTGATATGACTGCACAAGTGCCATTACTTAGATACCCTTGACATCTGATATATATTTTTATCAAATAAAGACTAAGTACTGTAGATAAGTGTTGTACCTAATATATATAAAAGGTCTTTTTCCACCAGAATATATGACAAGCTACAGCAGGCCTGGCCAGCTTGTGACAGTGATTTTGCTATAGCTACTGTACATGTACATATACCACACTGTTCCATGAGGATGGGAGGGGCAGGGGACCTGTACATTATGAATTTCAGAAATATTAACAAAAATAAATCAAACTTAGAATAAAATGGTAAATTTTGCTGATTTAAGGAAATTATAGATACAATGTATTGCCAAGACCACTAGCTCATCACCTAGGCCTGAAATCTGTGGAAAATAGGTCTAGTGAATTTGACAAATATTTTAGCAAATCCACAAAAATTGGGGACCTTATTTTTTTTTTATATGGTATGTGCATGTATCATTACATCACTTGTAGACAAACCAGACCTTTAAGTTCCCTGCTGTGGATCTGTGCTAGTTCTCTGTACACTTCATTAAAACTCCTTTCCATGGTGTACACTTTTCGTAAGCTTCTGAAGCACAGCTTCAATAGTTCATCAAGTCAAGAAAATAGCGTCCTCCTGAGGGAAACAAAAGTTAAGATTATTACAGGTAAGTTAGAATGAGGACACTGCTTTACAGTGATAGGTGTGTCTAAGTAAAAACTCAGAGGAACATTATCATGTGTTTTCATTTCATCGTGTATTTGATTTAAGTTATAAACATTGTGATGGTAAATAGTAACTATATTACCAAAAGGAAGGACGGATGACCATGAGGGGTTGTAATCATCAACCTGTTTTTTTGACAGAAAATTAAACTCTAGATCTGAGACTATGCCTATAACATCAGCCCATGTGCCAATTAGCCCCTTCTAAGTGCCACCTGGACCGGTACCACTTCCACTGATAAACAAAAGCAGCCTATCTTATATTATATATATAATTATCTCTAGTAGGATTAAAATTCAACAGAAATTCAAGTCTAGAGTTATGTGCCATACCAGTAAGTCCTTTTACAATTTTGTACGTTGTTGTATTTTCACGTTGTTGTATTTTCCCATTGTGTTCTATGTTGTTGTTTTTTTAAATATATTTTCCTGACCTTGTTTATCATCCCAAGTTGAATGAGATTTTGGCACAAAAGAAGAAAATTATCCAGCATATATTCTATAGGTTATATTTATATCATTACTCATTTCTAAGAATTTTAACCATAACTCCGGTCCTTTGGTATGAAAAAATATGCACAGAACAATTTTTAAAGCAAAATTTAACATTATTTCTATAAGAATGACGTCAAAAGTAACTTAGAATACAGAGATCAAAAAATAATATCTCAAAATGGACATTTTAATTGTATAAATATTACAACTGAATCGAAGCACTGAATACTCTCCCCAACTGTATTATTTTTTGTGCATGTGCAATTTGTTTCAAAATGGGACACGTACGACACTTTATCTAGAGTTTGGAGGGTCAAGCTGGTTTGACTGCTGCAATTCTCTTTCACGCGCTGACCTCAACCTCATTCATATTAAAAAAAGTGGCAGGCTGACTGCGATAAACTTTGAAACTCTGAAATGACGTGTGTTTTTGGAGGAAACAGAGTTCATGTCCGCGGTAGGAGAATACTGTAATAGGGGGAGGTCCGGAGAGGGTTTTGCATCCGTTGTCACTCCGTTAAATCCGTTTCGTGATCGTATAGTTTTTAGCAATGGTAACGAGTCGACAATTTCCCCTGGAGTCCTCTCTAGACCTTGCCTCTTTCGTCAGGTTACAGACCTGTTTTCACTACAGGTTCGAACGCTGGATGTAGTGGTAATACCAGCAATTGATTCAATAACTCAACAAGGTGCACGTGTTTAAAAAACAAGTAACTGTTTATTAACAAGACGGAATGAATATGTACAACAAGTTTAACAAATACAAAGCATGGCATTAGTGCCAAACAATGACAACTAATGTTAAGAAACCCAATCCCTACGTATGTAGAGTAATGGCCTATCCTACCTAACAGTACTACCAGTAGACTACGACCACGTGCTCCTAGCTAGCTCCCTATAGATCTACAGCGAACCACCATGTATCGATGCCTAAGCCCGAAGCCCCTGACTATCCCTTAATACATGTACTGTAGTTCCTATAGCACTCTATATATCCCAGGAACGATCTCTTCATGTAGTCCAACGGTATTGGTACTGTTAGCAGCACCTCGACCCATGTTTTGCACTGTTAACAGCGCATGAGGCGGTAATGTTCTCCTCACCAGGAGAAGTGGGTCGGCTCACCGACCCTGTCAAGGCACTGATCCCCGCCCGGACCCGCTGTTTTATACCCCCTGCTCGCCCCACCAAATAGCCTCGAAGATGAGTGATCAACTGTTAATCTCGAACCCAGCCTCACCATCTAAAAGCATGTGAGCGAGGAGCGGGAACCTATTCCTGTTATTACTATCACCCACTTCCGGCCGTCTCAAAAGTGTAAACACACAGATTTCAGCACTTGTATCGTAGCAGCTGATCGCCAGGAATCCTACACTGAACGAAAAGCCCTACCCTACATAAGGGTGAATAACACAGAAAGTAACAGAGCCCTGTCTCTAAATCATAAACAACAATTATACTTAACAAAGTAATACAAATGTGAGAAGTAAACAACCTACCCTCCCACAATACATTTTACGTACATATAGGAGGTTTTTAAAAGAAAAATTATCACTCTTACCAATGGTACTAAGGGACAGTACAGTACCCAAATTGGATCACCAAACTATAATTTTTTTAAATCATTGAAAAATCTGAGAAGGAATTTTATAATATTAATTTATGGTTTTATCAAAGAAAGAATATTGATGGGTGTTAATTCTTACAAACGAAATTAGCACCCGAGGCTCACTTCAGATATTTATAGAACGCTCTGAAGTCACCAATCAACGTCTCCGGTTTTTGCGAATGTCAAGACCGAAAACAGATCAAGGCTTGAATTTTGTAGTATCGTACGCTTCAAAGAAATATTTTTTTTGTCAGCATTAACATTTTATGATGACCTTTAGAATTTATATGACAAAAAGTATTTCTATACTGTGAATTTATTCCTATTGTTCAAAGCACAATGCATATTCGTCGCACGCACCAATCTTTAAAAACTTAATCAAAATATTGACATTTGAGTTTGAATTACGTTTTCTTGCACTATTTGAACTTAAAAACTAATCATCTGTAGACAAAAAATGGTGCATGGCTATCTATTCTAACTGATTTATTTACACAATTATTTATTTTATAGATTTGGGTACTGATCCGATTCGGGTAATGCCTCCTTAAGCATTTCCCCGTAGATCAACTAGAAATGTTGTTTTTGATGCAAGAAAGTTAGGTGGGTTTGACATTTCGACATCGATAGCTTTCCTCCCTTCTCCTGTATATTTATAATCATTGGGATGGGGTCGTCATGTTTACCGAAAGTCGATCTTAACCGCTAACACATGTATACTTATTTTAAACAATTTAGTTTAGGTCCAAATATATCTGTAACAAATTATCAGGTCCCTGTGTATTAGACATGTAACGAACCCCTGTGCGCAGTGTACCTGTACAGTACATGTGAACACACATCATCAGTGTCTGAACATCAGTTACATCAGAAAACTTTAGTTTATAAAATAATAAAAGAGTCAAATATTAGCAAATTGCAAGGAAAATAAAACAAAAATACATTACATGGGTCGATAATCATAAAATAAACACACCGCAGACTTCTCCTTTTTGTAAGTAGCGCCATTTTGAAGAAATTGCCGTATGTGAAACGTCCATATGTCGTTAAAAGTTTTACCTCTTTCCAATTTTATGTCTTCTATTTTGAAGTTATGAGAAAGGTTATTTGATCGACAAAATATTGTTTAATATACAAAATTTATTTGAATACTCTGGCATTCCCAAGTATTTTTAACATTTTTTTTCGGTATCAGAAAAGTTACCGGAAGTAAACAATTTTTGACAGGGAGCGAGCTTGATTGGTAACATTTTATGTTGTCACTGTCTATTTTATCGTATTTTATCTCTCCAATATTAAGTTGAAGATATTTATGCATCAAGTGGATGTAGAAACCGTCCACAAAGGCCCTATATTGTTCTTTTGGGCAGTGATACCATATTTCAAGCGTTTAATTTGTACGACATGACACAATATTTGTTTAAAAAAAGTCATTATTGTTCAATTCTCAGGGTTCAAAAAATGCTGAGACAGACAGAAATAGCTAAATGTTTAACTACTAATTAATTAATACATTTTTTTCTATTTATAATGCATATGTAATTAATAAAGTAAATAACTTTTTACTCTGTGACACAGTTCAGTCAGTGATTACAAACATTCACATTCTTGTTTAATCAACTAGTTTTACCATCCTCGATATCCAGGGGTTATGCTCACTTTTGCTCTCTGCACCCCTGGAATATGTCACAGCAAAATTGAAGGCACGAAGATAGCTGTTTGATTTGTCTCGGGTAAAAAAAACCTGACCAATCGCTAGGCTGATACCTGTCCTTTGAAGATTACAAAGGAGAGACGCCCGACTTCAGAGCCTGTCAATTTTTACCATTACGTGACCGTGAGATTTTTTTGATGTACATCAAAGGATCAAACTAGTCTTCTCGTCGCATTCACAAGGTGCTGCACATTGAGCCTTCAATTTTGCTTTGACTTTTTCTAGGGGTGTAGAGAGCGAATGTGAGATAGGACTATAAAGTTGGCTTCATATTTGCGCTATCACAAGGAGGCAAGCACATCACAACATACCCTGTCTCCTGCATACACACATGCAAGCTCGCATACACTACACACATAAAGGCACGTGCTTAAATGACCATAGCTGTAAATAGGAAAATTAAAAAAAAAAAAAATGCTACATATATTTTTTTTCTGTATTGCTCCAGCCCATTCCTGTTGTTCCAGCCAGCCTTCAACATGGATGGTGATTGGGTGTGTAACGATGGAGATGAAGGATTTGATGATGGAGACGAAGCTGAGGAAGAAAATGTTCCGATGGACGTCAACTTGGCTACAGAAGGAGAGGGTAAGATGTGACTTCTATTTTAATCATCCTCGATATCCAGGGGTTACGTATACGATCACTTTCACTCTCTGCACCCCTGGAATATGTCAACAATATTGAAGGCACGCTGCTAGCTGTTTGATTGGTCTCAGGTAAAAGATGACAGAGGAGCGATGTATTTTAATATGTTTGTTTAATGATAAAATTCATGGATTTTTTAATGTACTTACATATATTGTACATTGTATAAAGATTCCCCAATGGTTAGTTATCATGTAAATAATGTAACTGATATTTAACTGGAGTAAGTTGACTTTTAAATTGTATAAATTGTATAAGAAACCTTGCAGAATCCTTACATCTAGGGGATGTGAGTTAAGTGTATAAAGTAGAGGAATTGCATATTAGCCGAAAAAACCCAGCTTTTTATTTAATGTGAATACCATCAGGTGAGTAATACAAGCCTAATAGGCCTCTTGTTTTTATATTTTTTTTGAGATTAAATATCTTTGTGTAGAAAAACGAGTTCTTAATTATTGTTTGACAAAACCAACAACATTGAAAAAAAAAGAAAAAGAATTCAATTGTTTCCAGACGAGCTTTTGAATGGTCCTCGAGCCAGTGTATTCTACATGGTGCCACAGACGGAGGATAAAGGCAAAGACTTCACAAAAAGTGAAGTAGAGGAAATGATGAAATCTGAAGAGTACCAAAAGAAAATTGATACTTGTCATTTGTAAGTCATGTAGTAGCATTCAGATACTTGTCATTTGTAAGTCATGTAGAAGCATTCAGATACTTGTCATTTGTAAGTACATGTAGTAGCATTCAGATACTTGTCATTTGTCAGTACATGTATAGTAGCATTCAGATACTTGTCATTTGTAAGTACATGTAGTAGCATTCAGATACTTGTCATTTGTAAGTACATGTA